TTCGAATAAGATGCAGCCGTGCCCCCTCTATACCCGGCATATGGGATCTAGACGTATCATACCGCGACGTCTCCATAAGGACATGGTAGACATTTTTGTCTAATTTTGGTCATAATTTGTGTCTATTTTTGGTCATACATTGTCTATTCTCGACCAATACCACCTGAAATCGTCGTCATTAGCGGGCGCGACGTCGCACGCGACGCCCACTGGCGCGGCGAACTACGATTCATTTGCCACATCCCAGTTCCTACCGGAGAGCACTAAAGAACCTACACCAGTACGGAGGACGACTAAATCAAGGAGAGCTAGAACGCAGCGATTCTCTTGCCACATACCCGTTCAATATAGCTATGTTCATATCAAAATCTCAGAAGTGTAACACGGCGTTTATCACCTTGCTTATCTCAACTATGGCTTTCCTGCTGAAAGCGGTGAATTTGATTCTATAGGGTGGTGCGGCTCGCCCAGTCGTGGTTGTGACTCTCATACAACTCAACCATGGCCCAACTCGACGTTGACAGTTTGATGTCCCGGTTACTAAACGTGGGCATGGCCGGAGGGCGACTGACTACATCGGTACGTTTCCAAATCTGCGAGATGGTGATTGTTCTCATTGATAAGTGACTTCTGCAGGTGTCAGAGCAGGAACTTCAGCAGTGCTGCTTTGTTGCTCGACAAGTTTTTATATCCCAATCATCGCTCATTGAGTGTGAGCCACCACTGGTCGTTTGTGGAGACATTCATGGACAGGTGAGAGAGGGACTGTCTTGCAGATGAACCCCGCTGTAACGACTACCTTTCAGTACTCGGATCTGCTACGTATTTTTGACAAAAACGGTTTCCCACCGGAGACGAACTACCTCTTCCTCGGAGACTACGTCGACAGAGGACGCCAGAACATTGAAACTATAAGTCTGATGTTCTGCTACAGAATTAAGTACTTGCTTCCTGGTTATTCTCTCTTGATTCTCAGAAAATTTCTTTGTTTGCTCCCTTTTCAGATATGCTGAGAGTTTCTTTATGCTTCGCGGAAACCACGAATGCCCTGCCATTAACCGTGTGTATGGTTTCTATGAGGAATGTAACAGACGCTATAAAAGCTCTAGATTGTGGAGCTCATATCAGGTGATTCGTCGAGTCACCTTATTCTCTTCGACGATTTGAATCAGATCAGTGGTTTACTATTCAAGACCTCTTTGCGTAGTGAACACGGTGCACTGGGTGGTAGAGAACGCGATCAGAGTTATAGTTTCTAACATTGCAATTTGTCGAGGCGGGAGTGCGGCGCGGCATGAGCCCGCATGCAGCTGCCTTGCTCTACCAATGGCGATCGGGAAAGGATCAGTTCAGGATTAAAACAATGGTGGCATGCCGCAGGTCGCGACCGCTGACTGCGACCCGACTGGTTGAGGTGATATCAACTTCAAATTCGATTGCGCCCAAGGTGCACCATTCATCGTGGGAACTACAATGGAGGGTCACATTTAGTCTCGAGGAGTTCTGCTTGTCTGTCTGTGCGCTATACCCCCCCCCCTTTCGGTGTCGACGTTACAACATAACTGTCTGACATTTGATGGGAGGGGGGTCTGAGCTTGAACATTTTCCGCGAGGTGCCCCGGGAGAACTAATATCCAGCGAAACTGAACCACGTCATGTCCGCTGTAGTCTGCACCCTCTCGCCGATATGCTGACATGGCTATAGCAGCAGCAAAACTTTCGCTTCCTGAGGTAAGAACATGACCGGATGCCATCAGCATTGTGTGGCAATGGATATACGGACGGATAAAGGATTGTTATCACCATGCTGAACGTGTGAATGCTGTAAGGCAACGTAAAAGCTGTGAAGCTGGCATGAGGGGTAAGAGTGGCCGTGGAGGCGCAACGGATAGCATACTCGCACGGAAATCGTGATTTGCGGGTTCAAATCCCGTCTGAGGTCAAGGCTCTTGCTAATAACTTTGCATTCATGCAATAACTTTGGGATATACGTACGTTATCGTTGGACGACAACAATCCCTTAAGAGTTGTTTGATGCTGGCTTGCTGCTCTCTCGTGAACGTCGGGACTACCTCCTAAATGGTGATTTTTGTACTGCTGTTGATAATCCGCTTACTATGTCTGTTTGTGTGTCTCACCAAATTCATAAGGGCCCTTCGGCCAGTGGGGGCAGGGAAAGCGCTTTATCCGAGAAGTGGTATACGAGCTGTGCCACGGGACATATCGTGGTGGGATGATAGGACGTAAATACTCCGCTATATTCATCTGATAATAAGGGTGGCACATAGAGAGGGTCACCAAAAGCGCAAGGAAGATCACCAGTTTCAAGGTTTTGATTCGAATTCCAGCGCCTGTCACATTACTAGTTGCAAGGCGATTCCACCCATCGTGGCACAAAGTTTAGATTACTGACATTCCCATTTGAAAGTGATAAAAGCAGGTAAAAGGAAAAGTGATAAACTGTCCACCATGAAAATCCGCTCACACGGGGTCGCGCTGGAACATTGCCACTGATATGGTTATCCACATATCGACAGTGGGGGATAACCGTCCGGTAGGTTATCCTTACTGTCGATATGTGGATAGCCATATCAGTCGCTTAACGGTTGGTGCGTACCAAGTTGTAATGGGGAAAGCAAGTGGCTTTATCACTGATGGCGCAATAGCCTTTGGTCAACAGCATCCAGTTAGCGCTAACTGAAGCATCCTAGCTCTACAGTAACGACGCAACGATGTTGCTAAGGTGGTGTACAAGTGCTCGCTCTGAAGAAGAGTAGGACGCCTCAGGGAATTTTCAAAGTGCTTGGAGCGGGTAGGGGCTTTGGCTGGGAGGATGCATTAGCTCTGATTGCTAAGTGGGTGTTAGGTATTCGCCATGAAATACAGAGGTACTTCTGTTGCTAGTTCAGAGAAAGACAACCATAAAGAAAAGGTGAGGGTTGCATACATATTACTTTGCGGCGGCGTCCACCAGCGACCACCAGCGTGTCGAGCGTCCGTCAGCCGCAGCAGCGATTAGTGACGTATGGCTATCGATCTAGCGAATGGCCGCGTACAGCAGCGTCCACCAGCGTCTAGCAGCGTCCACCAGTTACTAATAAAGTACGAATATCGATCTATCGAACGCCAGCGTGCACCAGCTGGTAAAGTATAATGGATATCGATGGCAAGCGAATGTTTAACGTCCAGTCGTCTAGGCATTGAAGAAGCGAAGAGTGCAGGGAGGCAGACGAGAGTTAGAATAACATATTGCGACGCCTAATCCAGAGGTCTGCTCCCTCCCACTTCCCCATACTCTACCAGCAGTCTGCTGCCCTGATGCTTCCCATACTCTCGCTACTCGCACAAGACGCTGCTGGAGCGTCGCAAAGTATTCTAATGGAACGCGCCTCCATAGTTTTTAGCTGAGTCTTCCACGAACGACACATGAGCTTGGTGCTTTCGCAGACTATTTTTGGATTTTTTTTAGTTACTGTACAGCACGATACCATAGAACATTATTTTTGTCGGAAACGTGTACAGTAAGGCTGCGTTTATACTTTGCGGCAGCGTAGCGTAGCGCTTCCAGCGTACGCCAGCGGCAGTGTCGGGGAAAGGATAGATATCGATCTAGCGTCACCAGCGTACGCTAGCGTACGCCAGCATAGCGAGGGCACGGGTAGGAGAGTACAAAATACTCTCCTACTCTAGGATACTCTCTAGCGTGGGAGAGCAATTTGCACTCTCCTACTCTTCTATACTCTCTAGCGTAGAGGTATTTTGTGCCTTTCCCTACTCTTCTATACTCTCTCTCTATAGGAGAGTCCACTCTCCTGAACTCTCCTACTCTTCTATACTCTCTAGCCCCGCAGCTGCAAACGTTAGCGAAACGCTAGTAGCGCTACGCTACGCTGCCGCAAAGTATAAACGCAGCCTAAGTTGTGCCAAGGGCTGAAGATGCTCTACGAACTGCTCTGGCTAATGCATTTGCAGGAAAAACGATAACAGATATATTTAGACGGTCTAAATATCGGAGAGATACAATCACGATTCCTGCAAGCGATAGGGCTTGGGGTGCAGCCACAACAGCCTTCCTTGCCAATTACCGCGGACTTATTGTTACACCATAGGTTGAAAAGGCTGTCTTGATATCCCCAACGCTCCATTCACCCCTTTCTCACGCTCTTTCGCATGCAGGAATCATTAGTATTCACGATTTTGACAGGATACATTTAACTGGATGCCGTTGTGCGGGCTGATTGCTGGACGGATTTTATGTATGCACGGCGGACTTTCTCCTCAACTCGCTGCAATTGATCAGCTTCGACAACTACCTCGTCCACAGGATCCACCAAATCCATCAATGGGTATTGATTTGCTTTGGGCAGATCCAGATCAATGGGTAAAAGTGAGTTCACACAACAGCGCACGCCTTGAAGATAACAGCCCACATCTCACATGGACTCCCTTGCTACAGTCCTGTTCGCTGCTGAGGCTTGTTAGACGGAAAGGGTCAGGCGCGGCGCCATCCCCTTCTCCAACAACTGCTGAAGCGAGCAAGCGACTAAAATGTTGGGAAACGTTCTGGCATCGCGCCAAACCCAGCCCCTCCGCCCACCCATCTCGACACGCTTCAACCAGGACACATTGTTGTTGGGGATTCCCCAACAGGGGGTTGTATTTATTAGCTGTTGGGAGGGGAGGGGAGGGGGGAGGGCGTATTTTGTGTGTACTATATACCGCTTCGCTCGACAGCTCGATGAGGAGGGAACCAGGGAGGGGTCGTACCAACCCTCCGAAAAAAGTAGAGGGGGAGGGGTCGTACAGACTCGACCGAAATCCCCAACCAATGATGTGCCCGGCCTCAACGCAGTGAACAAGATTGGATTTCCACGTTGCAGCGGCGCTCACAAGCTAACAGAGGTTTTCCTAGCTAGTTCACCCACTGCAGCACTGAGTAGCGACGCAAAATAGCGCAGGCGGGTAGACAGCAGTACCAGGAGGACAGCAGTACCAGCAGTTTGACGACGGGGGGAGGGAGCATTTTGCACTTTCGCGACTTCCCATCCCTATCTAGGCAGCCTCTTCTCGAGTTGACAGGTTTTACCATGATGGCTAGATGAGCTTGCTCCAGCTTCACAAGAGTTCACAGGTTCGCCAGAGTGAGACTTGTAAACCGGAACTAGGGAAGCAATGATAGTACGAAATGCCCCCCGTCGTCCGACTGCGCCGTACCAGGAACCAAACCACTCGACGTGGCAGCTGCGCTGCGCTACGATTTCATCTCCCAATTCAACTCGTACCGCATGCCGCGACTGGGATCAAACGCTCCCCCCCCCCTCCCGAAACTCACACGCATGGCCCACTGGCAACGTGGAAGTGATGTCTCCCGTCCCTTTCTCTTTCGGTCATCATGTCGTCTCAGATTATTCATGAAGCCACGTATTAAGGGATGGCAGGCTAACACTCGGGGAGTATCATATGTGTTCGGACAGGATGTCGTCATTGATATGTGTCAGAAGCTTAACGTTGATCTCATTGCTCGAGCTCATCAGGTTGGTAATTCCGCCACCCTCTCCCACCCTCTCCCAACAAAGAGCTATGTTTGTTTCAGGTGGTGCAGGACGGCTACGAATTCTTTGCCTCCAAAAAGATGGTGACCATATTCTCGGCCCCTCACTACTGTGGACAATTCGATAATTTCGCAGCTACGATGAAGGTAAATTAATGCAGGCATGCTCAATTCAGGTAAAAGCAACTGAGATGTTGAGAAAGCGTTAGGGAATCTCGTGGCGCTATGCATCCTACTCATACGCTGAGGTGGTTGAAAGGTGTAACTTCCAAATTAATCTTGCTTATGAAAGCTAACGAGGCAGAGGTGGTGTAGTGACAAGTGGCGCGCTTACCACTCGCGCGGTCCTGGGTTCGAATCCCAGGTCGACACCCGCCCAGGCCAACCAAGCCTTCTACCCTCCGGGGACGGTAAATTGGTACCAGATTCGTCTGGGAGGATAAAACACTGACTTGTACATCGGCTGGCCCCGCAAGTCATTGTATAGGCCACATCGCATTCAATAAGCCACTACGATTCTGATGGAAGTAGATGCGTGCCGCATTCCACGAAGGGATTGATTAACGGCGATCACTTTACCCTCAATCCTTTATGAAAGCTAATGTGACCAAAAGGATCGTGATGAAGGACAAGGGTGAACTCATCGCCGTGGGCCAATCAGTTTTAGGATGCGCCACGCATTCCATTTCCATTCGTTCTTCAACCCCGTCCTAATGAGCCCCCTCTCCAGTGTCCAAATATGACCCCGATTGGATCCTCCCAAAATCCTGAACAGAGGACAATCTCTTGAAAAGTCGCACCGAGAAAAGCTACCCATCTCCGGTTGTATGTCACAAGGCAATCGTAATGTGCTGTGCTGATGGGCGTGGGGAGCGATGTCGCGCTTAAAGACGAGTTGCCCTGCCTGTCCTTCGAAGTTGGCTGTTAAAGGGGCGTGAAAATTCGGTAGCGTCCCCTGTCTCCGCTTGAATTCGCACGTGTTTCGCTGCTCCGTTCGACAGTGATTGCATTGAGAATTTGTTACGAGCTGCGCGCGACGGCACGACAACTTACGTGGTCTTGGCCGTCTCTCTTCCTTTGATGCGACCTCCTCCTCTTTGTCACCTAGTTGCTCGCCCCCGCGGTCTCTGTTTCTTGTGCAACAGTGTAATATAAGAAATCAAGTGCTCAGAGAAAGCCGCATTTATGACACTTCCTCTGCTTGTTTCTTTACTGACGAATCACCTACTGTACTACTCTACTCTATATATTAAACGCCATTCTGCTATCGTGTAATGTGCCCTTGTAAATGGCTCAATTTAGGTAAGCGAGGATCTTATCTGCAACTTCGCCATGTATAAGCCAACCTCGAAAGCAGCTCGCATTGCCGCTGGTAATGCTTAATATAACGTAATAAAGACATTCCACACTGCAGCATATTGTATCAATGAATATTGTGAACGGATTTTTCACTAAGCGTATTACATATGTAAAAAGAAATCTCATCAGACAATAAAATATGGCTGCAAGCAAAATAAATAAGGCACAAATGTACTCGCTATGACATGGTAGTGGCTCAAAAGGTGTAGTGGTCACGATGTCTAAGGAGAACATAGAAGAAGGAACATTTTGAAGGACGACTTTGCAATAGAAAATATACAACTGTACAAACGAAAGATTTCAGAAAATACATTTTACTACAAAGTAGAAGCCTTATGTGGGATTCGTTCCTCAAGAAGACTGACGGCGAAGGAAATAGGGGGTCGGATTGCTTGTGTCTGGGAAATTGTTCGAATTTTAAACGTGCATGTAAAAGAGTAAATAATATAGGACAGTGGGTGTAAAAAATAATGAAATGAAGAGAACAACGGGAAAGAAGAACAAGGAAATTATTGGAGATTTCACTCATGCTCCAATAATTTTTACGGCAATCCGAAATCAGCATTCAGAAACCGATCCTAACTAAAAATATCACTTATGAGAGATACGACAATCAAAAAGAGGTTTGCAGCCATTGCTCTCGACCCAGTTCTTCAGACGCTTGACAAATTCCGCACTTGGCGCCCAGTTTATGAGAATGAATTTTGTCCCGGAATTTCGAAAGCGCTAACTTAATATAGTACACATTTTAGCGTCTGGTAGGGCACTCTTCTCTTTCTACATGCCCATAAATTTAATTGGGTGTAGTATAAAGAAATCAGACATCCTATGTGGAAGTCATAGAGCAGCTCGGTGCATTGTTCCTCGAAAAGCTCGCTTTCTAGAACAGAAAAAGATCCGCTGAAATAATCCCCTTGTACCATCTCCGTGACTTGAGGACATTGTTCAGACCTTGTTCCATTATATAAAGTTGTTTAAAGCTGCAGCTCCTGCCCTGAAAATAACCATGAGAACTCCGACTCATGGGTGAAGGCCCTGGCCCAAGGCGGGAATACAACCCAATATTTTTCTTAGATTTCTGAGTGGGCTGAAATTGACCATAAATTGGAAAGGGAATCTTTTGATGATTGAGAGCGATTATCTGCGAACTCGTGGTCGCAAGCGATTTCTGAGATACCTTCTGGAGAAACGTCGTGTAAAGATCATTGACATGTTTCTCAGTTTTTTCACGTCAGTTGTGAATAGTAATCATGGTTAGATTTCTTGTCTGGGAGATGATTCCGAAAACCCTCCAAAACATTAGGTGCATCGTTTTCGACCCTACATACAGCCCTGTTCATTGCGAATGGTGGGGCGCGTCAGGAGGGATGCGTTTGGCGCGGAGATAACCCGGCCCTTTTTTTCTTTTTCTATTTCGAACAATGCGACAGACTTATAATATCCTTTATCAGTTCTTTCTTTGTACGCGGACGTATCCGCCTTTGGAGCGGATCATCGGCAGTGAAGCAAAGTTCTTATATAGTATTTTTGTGATGATGTTCAATTGACAGGAAAAGAGCGAGTAAGCTAAACAGTGAGTAATGAAGTAAAGGTGAACGAAACAATGAAAACGATATCCAAGTTTGATTAGTGCTGCTTTCCGCCGAGTATGAACGCCTTTATAGGGATGGTAAGTTATTGCCACAACATTTAGCCCCTAGAGGGACTTGATCCATTGTCATGCCTTCCGGTCATCTGGCTTATCCTTTACAAATGATTTCTACAGTGTGAAGGAAAGCTATGGCGCCCCAGAAAGTGCAGGTGCGAGTTCCAAGTTGAACTTTTGACTACGCATTCTCGCCTTATCAAGAGCATTTCTTGGATATCACCTTCGTTATTTCTTAAATTCCAAATAAAGATGGAGATTAACTGTAAATTCAAATAGGAATGAGATTAATTGTAGATTTAACAAGTGAACACGGAGAAATATGGCTGCCAAAGCAGCGAAGATCTCTGAAGAACGTGTTTTCTCTCTTCTGTTTCACAACGGAGAAGATAGGACGCTGTTTGACTTTTCACTACCGCAGCAGTAACAGAAAATAGTATAGGATACTCCGAGAATGCACGATAGAGCCATACAAATGATCGCGATTCTGAAAAAGAAACTCATACACTGCGGCTTTGACGGTTCTGAAACAAGAAAAAAATGGGCCGATTACGTGGGGGCAATGCTGCTTGGGGCTCTATTTCCTTCAGCACGAAGTCTCAGCGTGCCCTGGAAAAGATGCTTTGCAACCGAGGTCATTCGCAATAGGACCCGATAGGTTCGGCTACATGTTTCAAGTCAACTAGCCAGAAAATATTCTCCTAGACTGCCGCTGCCAGGGAAAAAGGAAATACGGACCCGAGCGGACATGCTGCTGTACGACTCCACCTTATGTGCATTTGTCTGTCTTGACTTTCCACGTTTTCTGAACGTCATAGGACGTTTCGTTTTCACTGGAAGGACAGACGCCGTTTCCTTGTGACAAGCTAGTCCTACGCTTACAGAATGTAGCTCTTTTGCAACTCAAAAATCTCGATAAGGGCTAGGTGCTCGTGACAAAGGCGGGGCGTCACCCACCTTCTTATGCTACAACCATAGTTCGGTTTCAGTTGTTATCTAATGGGGCCGCTGTTGCGCCCCTAATTCTTTCCATTCCGAATCGTGAGAGGGAAAGAGTAGATACCAGCATGTGAGAACTCGTCAGAGCACGCCCTCTCTTCGACTTACGCACTTAAAAATTATAAAAACGTTTGTGTGGCACATGTCCGCTTGAACGGTGCAACCGTCGCCCTCTAAAGACAAGGATTCAGTCGAAAAGTTAGGCCATATTCAATACCT